ATTGAGCCACAAACCCGCTGGTTTAGGCTTTTCCTTCTGGCTCCATATATCTCTCTCTTTTGGCTGCCCAGTGGGCCAGCTTCAAAATGAGCAGCAAAGAAGGGACTGCGTAATGCCTAACCTGTGGCAAGAGCACTGTGCTGGGAAGTCAGACAGATGCAGATTCAACCCCTCTCTAAGTGAGGGGCTTTAGAACCTGAGTTTTCAGCTTCCTGGGCAAATGCTCTAACTACTTAGCAATTGGGGTTAAAATATGGTAGGGCCTCACCACCCATGTCATTTTCCTGGAAGACACACATGCAAAGCCATATATGTACCCAAACAGTGTGAAACCCTACTGCGCATGCTCCATCTACATAGTCACACCTACTCATACACAGAGAAAAACCACAGCCAAGAACAGCCAGGTAGAGAACCAGAAAACTACCATTTATATGTACAAGGGGAATCGAATTCCACCCTTAGTAGGCAACTGTCAATCCTCTGGATCATGGTATGCACATAAGAGGTCTAGTCAGATGCCTGATGAATCCATTTGTGGCTAACAAGCCCAATTCAAAAGCAATGCAGCGTTTCACAGATCCATATATTGTCTGAGTTGGAGCCCAAATTTACAGCATGCTGTTTTCTTCTCTCTTGCTCTGCTTCCATCCTCTGGATCAAAGCCACTTCATGTTGAGCTGCACCCAGTGCCAGATGTTCCCTCCAGATCAGACGGGGTTCTGCTCGCTCCTCTCAGCTTTCTATGTTGATGTTAAATGACTTCATTTCATTTTTGTACACATCATGGTAGCTCCACAGAGGGCAATATTGCTTTCTAGAGCTGTCTCAAATTTTATTATAAAAAATATTCTTGGGGATATGGTCTTCTCCCATTCTCCTGATACAGCTGAGCCATCACAACCTCCTCTTCTTGATAGCAGTTTCTAAGCGCGACAGTTCTGTGCACTCCAGTGCCTCTGTGTTTGGCATTCTGTCTTCCCACTTTATTTTCAGGATCTTATGCAGACATCTCATGTAGAAGCTGCTCAGACTCTTGATATGCCTAGCATATGTAGTTTATGTTTCTGAACCATAAAGCAGGGATGACAGCACACAAGTCTCATAGATTCACATCTTCACCTTAGTTGGCAGTTTGCTGGTATTCCATGCATATTTCTGTAACAGCCCAAAATTCTTAGCTGCTTTCCTGATTCTGTTAGTCAGTTCAGTCTGAAAGTTAGGATTCCTCCTGATTGTAGAACCCAAGTAGCAAAAACTGTCAATGACACCAAAAGATTTATCCTTCACAATGCTGTCGGGTATTGGATGTTTCACCCCTTGGTATATGATCACAGTCTTCTTGAGACTAATAACCATCCCAAACCTCTTGCATGATTCAGATAATCTGCCCAAGGCAGATTATCTGTGGGCAACCAAGGAAATCTCTCAGAACCACTTATTTCACCCTGGTTTTCACTCTAAACCTTGCGATGTTGAACAAGCCTCCATGTAGTTTTGTTCAAAGATAAATACTATCGCTGCTGTCATTGAATGCATAAAGGAATGAAAAGTAGAGGTTAAAAAGCATGGGGACTAAGACTCACCCCTGTTTCACCTCACTGTTGATATTAAAGGTGTTTGATTCTTTGTTTTCATACACTACAGGTGCCTTCATAAGTTGATGTAATGAATGAATGATGTTCAACAGTTCAGGGGGACAACCCTGTTTCTTTAGATCAGTAAAAAGACCCTGTCTGTTGACTGTTTTGAAGGCCTTTGCCAGATCAATGAAGGCGATGTACAATGGTATTTATTTTTCTCAACACTTCTCTTGCAATTGCTGGGCCAAAAATATCATACAAATGGTACAGCATCCTGAGTGAAAACCACGTTGACTTTCAGGATAGATTTTTCACCTAGAGATTACAGCCTAGGGAGCACAATGTTAGTGACAATTCTTCCACTGAGGTTCAACAGGGAGATACCACTATAGTTGTCACAGTTGCTCCTATCCCACTTGTTTTTGTATAATTGTACAAACTGAGCATCTTAGAAATCTTGTGGTATTGCTTCCTTTTTCCAACAGATAAAGATAACTTTATGAAGCTTTCAAAATAATTCAATGTTGGCACGTTTATAGATTTCAGCAGGCAAATAGTCATTGCTGGATGCATTGTTCCCAGGAATTGATTTTAATGGATTTCTGCAAATCTTCTAATGTGGACTCATTGTCTAAATTTATCATAACTTCGAACTGTGGTAATCCTTTGAGCTCTTCATGTTTGATTTCAGTCTCACTGGAGTTTATATAATTCCATAGTGTTCAATCCAACGCTCAAGTTGCTTTTGTTTATCAATAAATAATAAAGTGATAATATAACACAATTCACACCAGACACAATTTAAAAAGGTCATTGTTTGCCAATGATTACTCTACAGTGGTACTGAAAACAGAACAATATTTATGAGTCTGCAGTGTTATGCAGCCACACAAAAAGTGAACATGGTTTAGGGATGCCTCAATAGAAGCATTTGGTGCAAAACACAGGAAGTGATAATGCCTCTCTACTCAGCACTGGTTAGGCTTCATCTGTGTGTACTGTGTGCAGTTCTGGGCTCCACATTTTAAAAGTCTGTAGAGAAGTTAGAGAGGGTCCAGAGGCAGGCTACAAAGATGATCAAGGGCTTGGAAGGCAAGTCATACAAGAAGAAGCTGAAGGAGCTAGGCAAGTTCAGCACCACCCCCCACCTCCCCCCCCGCCCCGCAGTTCAGCGATCAGTCACAGGGGGACCCCAGGTACCCCCCCAAACCCAGGAGGCACCAGCTGCCGAGCCAGGGCTGCATGGGGGGCCCCCCCACACGCTCCCTGATGGACCCAGAAGTGGACTGGAAGTGCTTCTGGTCTACTTCTGGGTCTGCTGCCAAATGCACTGAGGAGCTCCCTGTGCTTCTGTGGGACACTCCATGCACCCCAGCATTGCAGCACTCACGAGCCTCCTGCTACCTAGAGGTATGTAGAAAAAACATTTAAAGCTGTGTCTATGTCCAAATCTTTCCGAATTGACTCGGAGGGTTCTGATTCGATTTGGAGAGATTAAAGGGTCCTCTGATTCAATTTGGATTCTGAGACTCAGCCACCAAATTGAGCCAAATCTCTGCCAATCCTGCCAAATCGAATCAGGGACCAAAGCTTCGCACAGCTCTACTCTCCATCACTTGAGGTGTTCAGGAAAAGGTTAGACAGCCACTGGTTGGGGATGATCTTTGCATAACTATGCCTATTTTCTACCATAGGAATTTCCCATGCTTCTGGGCCTTTCTGGTTGTTTCTGCCCCTCCCCCTCCCTTTTCTGCTATATGTGTCACAGTGTTTTTAAGCCTTCCTAGACACATTTGGTGCTGGCTACAGCCAAGTCTGGAGACTTCAACTGGGGTGTGTCAATGTTCCTGCTGGGACTTAAAGCCAGAGGTTCCTGGCTAGAGGTTCTTGCCTCTCCACCACTTAGGGTAAGACAATACCATACTTGGCGTCAGGAAGGAATTTACCCCCGGTCAGATTGGTATAGACTGTCGGCTTTTTGCCTCTCTCTGTAGCAGGTGGTGTGGCCCTCTGCCCAAGACCTTTTGAGCATAGATTGACAACATTTTATAGAAGCAAGACATTGGCTGTCATGGCTCCCCTACTTTACCTGTGGCAGGGTAGGATGTTAGATCTATGTTGTGTCAGAGTTGAGGATAGTCTTATGTAGAGTTTAGATTAAGGTTCTATGGGATGGTTTGGATCGGGATGATCCTGCCTTAGGAAGGAGTTTGGATTAGATGACCTCTGGAGTACCCTTCCAGCCCTACTTCTCTATGACTCTATAAAGTAGGAAGTAACAGGGGTAAGTCTGATACCACCATGAAGTAACAGTTGGTAAATGTTGATTTCTTAATGGCAACTATAGCCGCACTTAAATTGAGCTTTATATTACTGAAGCATCATACAGCTACTAGATAAATAGTCTTTTTATTAATTTTATCAATTAACCATCTTTTCAATTACTAGTTTTCCTCTGAAAAAACAGCTGCTGGGAAAGTCAGAGCTCCTCAAGTGAAAGTCCTCAGAAAAATAGGGACTGAGAATAAAAATCATGGGAGCCTAAAGAATGTTAACATATATTTATAGATAGATAGATAGATAGATGTTAACTGTGGAACTGCTTGTCATAAGGTGTCACTGAGGCCACCATCTAAATAAGAATTTTTAAAAGGATTAGCTAAACATATATGGATAATTAGTACATTCAGGCTGTGTCTGCATGAGATGCTGACTGCGCAGTAGCCTGTGACTACTGTGCAGTAGCATTGCATGGCAGGAAGTGTGATGCAATGCAACTGCGTAGTGGTCATGAGCTACTGCACAGTCAGCATCACAAAACAGCCATTCCTCAGCATGACTGCGCAGTAACTCCAGTTACTGTGCAGTCATTTAGTACTTGTTTATACAAGTACTAAATGACTGTGTAGTTACAACTATACTGTCTCACAGTTGCAATGGATATGATATTCAAAATCCAAGGGATATATATACTCAGGCTCCAAGGCATAAGCTATCAACTAAGTGATGTGGTTAGAAATAAATTAGCCTCATGAGCAAATGATTCTGTAATTAACAAGTACCAAGTTTCTTGCTCACTTCCCTGAAGCACCTGACACTGGTCATTGATCTTTAGAAATAGAGTTAGTCTGTGTAGGTGTAGTCAAAGAGGGAGCCATGCTAGGTGCAAAAGCAGACTTGCAAAACTGTAAAACTATTAGTGCTACTCACTTTCTGATTAAACTTGCTTTCTTGAACTCATTATATAAGCAATTGTTGAGGTCTATCCTATGGCGTAATTTGATACACCACAAAATGATATAGTTTGAGCATCCAGAAAAGTCAAATCAACTGATTTTCCCTCTCTGTGTGTTCTACTGAATCTTACTTGATCCTCCCGGTCTTAGTGTGACCATGTACTTTAAAAGATTAATTTACCTATGGTTGTGATGACTGTTCCAGCAAAGAAAAAGGCACTTCCTAGGTCCCAGTGACTGCTGTTGTTGGATGAGTTTCCTATGGGACTGACTCCTGCATTATCAGCATCAATGGCATGCTGCAAAAAAGAGATAACAAATCAGCACAAATACCTTGCTGAATATGGTATAAGCAGAAGCATATCCTAAACTCTGGCTCCATGCACCAATTGAAGAAGCTTGGATCCAAGCTTTATAGCTGACATTAAATAAATAGACAAGCAAACAAACAAAAATTATGCTTGGAGTGCAGCATCCTTCTAGCCCCCAAATATTCTACAGAGTTAAAGAAGTATCAAAAGAGAACAAAAATAAATAATATAGGGGACTGAGACATATTTCCAAGAAATCTGCAAATATAATGGAGACAATGAGATTCACTAAAGCTGAGTCAAAACTTGCAGAAGACAGTTTATTCTATTGGTGAACAGGAATAAGTCTGATGGTAACAGGAATGATCGGGGTAGTAAACAGCATAATGTTCATGAAGTCCACTGAATAGTCTGCCAAGAGTTGTAATTCCCAGGCACTTAATAAATTTGTTCCCAATAAATTAATTATTGTTATTACTGATAATTTATTAATTTTAGTTAAGAAAAATGTTGTTACCATGTTATGCCAAACAAACTATACAATACTTCATTTGAAAAAAAAACAAGGAGGACACCTTAAGAACAATATATTGTATCAACTCTATTACCATCAGGAAATTGCCGCTTGTCACTGTGATTCACACATCATTGACCCTTGAGATTTCACAGCAGAAATGATGACCCAAGTAAGATCCTCCTCTCAAAATCACAGAGGCCAGAGTTACCACCTAACATAAATCTCAGCCTTCCTCAGTATCTGACACACAGATAAACACTTTGGGGTTTTGTTTGATAGATGACAGTACTGCCTATACACAGCAGCAGTATGTAGATGTTCATTTCTGGTTAACGGATTGTTCCCAATGGCAATAAAAATGTGCAAGGAGATTGGCAGTAGGAACGGAAGGAATTGGGCTAGAGCTGCTGTAGATGTTAACAGGTAACCCCACTCTGATTATGTTAGTCTCTGCATACTTCTGTATCAGTGCAACCATGTAATTTAACATACTCTAATGAGACATCACAGCTGCATAGGGAATTTAGTGTTTGTTTGTTGCTAAGCTGTGTACTTTGCATAAGTAGCAGGGAAATACCTGCCTCAGTGGGCTTAAATCATAACTTCGTGTTTCGCTTTTGTTTCTGACAATATTAAAGTGCTATCTCCAGAGATTTCATCTACCAATTTCATCTTCCAGCTTTACAATAATGACTGACAAATTTACATCTCCACATCTGACTGCCCCTCCAATCCTATATCTTGACTCATCTCTCTGGTTAAACCACTGAAAACTTAGTATTACCATGACCAAAACTAAAGTTGAATTCTGCTCCAAAAATCTCTTCAGGGCTCCAGCACTCAGCCTAAGGAACTACCTCAACTTTCTCTCATCTCTCACATCCAGGAGGTGTCCAGATCTTGAAGGTATTTTTCAAACAATATTTCTACTATGCAACGTTTCTCGTTCTTAAGATAAACTACCATGAAGTCCATCATCATCTTTCGTTCCGATTGTAACATCCCCAGCCCGTAGTAATGCAAAAAACACCACTTTATCACCTTTCTTATTCATCAATCTGATTGTGCAATCCTGCTCTTTGTATCCTTTCCCTTTACATTGTTGCCACATTACCTTCAAGCATCTCCTGACTGTATCTCATTCCCTGTTCCACTAACATCTCATTGTTCCATTTCCCCGCTTTTTTCAAAATCATCTCTGTGCTTTCTTCCATGTCGAACCTGTTCTTGGAATGCCCCTCATAATGTCACTTGACACTCCTTGAAATCTTTACTGAGACCTATATCTAGGGCATTTCCCAGTTCCACAACACTTGGAAGGAAGTACCCACAACACTTTTAAGAAAGGTTGTCATTTGTTTCTCCCATGGGTTAATGTCTCATTAACATAGAGGAAGGGTGTCAAATATTGAGGAAGAGGCCTAACAATGCAAAGATTGAAGCTGAGCATAGGTATTGGAGGGGGAAAAAGCTGAATTAAAGAAATAGGGAGAAATGTAATGTGCTAAATAAGAGCAAACATAAACATAATTAACTGCAGATGCAGGTCTCATCACCCTGATTGCTTCTTTTGGAAAACAGATCAGTAATTCCATAAATATCATGCTGAATTTAAATGGATGATAAGACACTAAGGAAAAATGCATCAAAGAATATAGTTGAAATGCAGGACCAGTTGAAGTTAGACAAATGAGGATTAAACAGGTAGGCTTGTGAGAGATGTTAAAATAACCAAGAGATATGGTTGTTAAGCATGACGCGTTCTAGGACTAAGCCTCTTGAAGTTATCCATAACACTACAGGCATTACCATCATCTAAATAATGAATAATAGGAATGAACTATTATGGAGGTGCCCAACCTCCTGTTCTTTCCTGATCAGTGGTTTCCAAGGATTTATAATTCATTCCTTTTAAACTGTGTGAGACTGAAATTTACTGGCACACAGAAGCTGTGAGTGCAGAGAGTATTGGTTTATGTACCCAGAAGAGTGTAAATCACTCTGACAGACTGGTTATTCAAACAGGCTGTGACATTGTCAGTCACCTTCTTGTGTTACTTGTGCCTGGGAATACTTGTCTTTACCTTGCGGGCATGAGAATAGTCTGGACCAATGGTAACGCTCAAGTCATGTCCACTGTCACATAGACTATCAAGTTTGTGCAGCTGAAGATGCAAGCCCCTCTGGCAGCAGTGCTGTGTTGCTGCAACACAGAAGAATTCTGTTGTCATGGGTAGCTCTTTGTCTTGTCCCTTCACATGACCACATGTTTCAGTCTATCACAGGAGGCTTATCTGTGCTGTGATTGATTTCCTCTAATTTATAAACCGGCAGCTATCCCAGGCAGTAGGTGCACAACTCATACTGCAGTGGGGTTCAACCTTCTCAGATGCCCTCCAGCCCTTTTATGACTGGCAGCACCTGGTTGAGAGCCATTGTTGGTGCTGATTCAACTTAGTTCAGTGCTTCACAACCAGGTGTTGCTACCTCCAGATAGCACTGCCCCCTGCCAGATACACAGCCAGCCAGGAAAGAGCTGTAACATGTGGACACATTCCTCCTGAATTAGGGCTCTGATCAGCCTCAAGCAGACAGGAGCTGCTTCATGCTGTGTAGCCCGTCCCTGACCAGCCCCTCCTACACTCCTTCTGGGAATAGAGGCACACAGTTGGAACTGTCTCACGTACTTCTGTTTGCAGGAGGAGCATGGGAGACCAGAAAAGGCTCCAGCCCAGCAGCCACATCCTGCCTGCTTTAGGCTGATCAGAGTGCTAATGAACTAGCAGTGCTCACAGGGCAGGTTTACCTGGTTGTTGCCATGGCATCAGCACCAACATTGGGGCACCCCTGAGGGGAGCAGTTCTTGGCATAGCTGCATTAATACAACAGCAAGAGCTATCTTCTTTAAAGGGACAGTAGACTGAGACTCACTGGCCGTGTCTACACACATGCTTATTGTGGAGTAGACTAATTAGCTGCAGAGTAAGGCATCACCATCTACACATGCAATGTTATTAGGATGCAGTAAATTAATTAACATCGCCAAGAGATAGTACTGTCCTCAACAGTAATTAACTGTGATTAAACACACACATAGCTGCTGACCACAGGCATAAATTGTGCCAGCCAGAAAGGGGCCAGACTCCTGTCTGCCACCTAGCCACATGGCTCTGTACTTTCAGCACCCTCATGCCCCAGCCAGACACTCCACCACCCAATGCCACCTCCTGGCAGAGTAGGGCAGGAGCAGCCCTGCCAAAAACTGCTCTGCCCTGACACAAATTGCTATTGTCCTGGGCCCACATGTAGACACTGTGCACAGAAGTAGTATACTCTGGCTCAAACTTCTCTGGAGTTTATTGCTTCAAATTACTTGTATATGTAGATGCACCCACTGGGGGTATCTACACATTCATTAATGTGCAGTGGTAACTGCACATTTAGTTTAGTATTGGCTTAATGAAGTACTAACTAAATGCAAAGTAACTACAGTTACTGCGCAGTAGCACTGGCACATAGTTTTTTAGTGATGCTTACTGTGCAGTATCCTAATACTACTGCGCAGTAGCATATTAGCATGGTTTTTGCCTGGTATGCTACTGTGCAGGGTTATTAGGCTACTCCGCATAAATCATCTCATGTGGATATGCCCACTATATACGATAAGATGTTCAAAACACTGGACTGGATAACCAAGTATTGGTTTTGGCTTGAACATTAATTTAGCCAATCTGGGTTTCAGGGTCCTAATCTATGAAAGAGTGTGGTAATAATACCTATTTTGGGTAGTCTGTAAGGTTCAAATCTATCCTGCCTTCTGCAACAATAATTCACTTGAACACACACTCAGGTGAGTATTCCATCTTCCCACTATTCAAACCACGCTCATGACTGGGGTTGCCTTGCAGATTAGTGCCCTCTGTGCTTTCTAATCATCACTGATATTTTCCCTAATTCTATACAAAGGAATATATTGTTATTACTAGAGTTATGTGGGGAATTTGTTGGCTTTATTTAAAGGTAGGTTTTCTGAAACACATCTCACTCAAGAAGCACACTAGAACCACTTATAGATCTTAAATTTATCCTAACAACCATATTCATAAATAGGAGGACTCACAGTTGAATAGGAAGGATATATCAAGTAATGTTTTATGGAGGTTTGCCCTGAGTCTGATATTATTCAATATTTTCATTAACAACTTCAATGCTGAAAAGAATACCCTTTAAAAACTCCCAGGTGAAGCTTGGAGAGTTCCTCGCACTTTGGAGGATCTGGCTGGAATTCAAAATTATCTTGATAAATTGAAAAAATGGTCAGAAATCAATAAAGTTAAATTCACTGAAGACAACTGCACAGTGTTACGCTTAAGAAAAAAAATCAAATGGACAAACACAAAATGGAAGATGGTTGGTGAAGTGCTGGAGTTCTGTGTCCAGTTTTGGGCTCCACACTTCAAGAATGATGGGC